TCTATCTATCTATCTATCTATCTATCTATCTATCTATCTATCTATCTCCTATTCACTGTGCCACAGTGAGTGTGTGGAGGTCTGAGGGTAACTTGAAGGAACAGTTTCTTACTCAACTATGTAGGTCCATGGGGTTAATCTCAGGTTGTCAGCCCTATTGTCCTTGAGATGTCTCACTTTAATGTTCTTTTTAATCTTTACTCTCTTACAGGGCTAAGGATCAGATGTAGGGCTTCCCGCTTGCCAGGCAGGTGCCCCACCAGCAAATCACACTCAACCATTTGTTTTTAACAGATACACCTATTCCAAAACATAACACTAATAATTTAACATAGCACTAATAACTTAACAGTGACTCAGTAACATTTTTTTCCCCAACCATTTACCTAAAATGGGGTCATGGATTCTATTTTTAAGTCCTTTTGGGAGCAGGATTGGGGACAAGGAAACAAACTGAGTTCCAAACTACTTACCAGGGTTGCTATTATTGGTGCTCAGTACAGTGTCTGTGTCATTAATGTGATGAATAAAATCTAAAAGTTAAAGATAAACAAATAGTTAAACAATGAATGAACCATATCAAATCCCATTACCATCTAAAGTCTTTTGTTTATAAAAGTAGTTATTTACTACATATATATTATTGAGTGCACTGACCCCAAATTATTACATATTTCACTTTTAGTTTTTTCTGCCTACAGGAAAGAAATGTCACTTGCTTCATAGTGTCATGTAGAAAAATTTCCATAATAATTTTACATAGAATTTTATACAAGGTTTAATAAACCAAGAAAAACCTACTTGCAAGACTGAATCAATGGTAGTGAAAAGGTCTGGAAGGAAGATAATGTATATAATATTTTCTTATACTTATATTGATTTATTGGAGCACAGCTACATTTTATGTAGAGTTCTCAAGTATGCCAAAAGGGAAACCAACAACCATACCTGGCTAAGCCTATTTGGGAAATCACTTAAAGTTTTCACGAGACACAGTAAACACTTTTAGAAAGCTAGGCTGTATAGTAACTACTGTGCTTGTAAGAACTGCAGAGTTACACTGGAGGAAGTACCAAAGTATAAAGTGCCCAAGCACTCATGCCGTTCTAGACTGAAGGTGTGATGGGTAAGCTGTGTTCGAAGTCGGACGTTGTTGTTTGTTTGGGACAGGGTCATGCTTAATACCTAAGAAACAAACAAAACTACAGACATAATAATGTTTAAATGAGAGTAGTCAGGGGTATATCATGCACATGCTTTCTCAATGGATGTGATACTATTATCAAGGAGAAAAAGTCATTCCTGAGGGGAAGAAAAAAAATCTTACTTTTAAGAAAGACAATGTGGAGATATTCTATTTATTAAAGGTTTCTGTGATATTAAAATTTCACCGAAGCATCAATTGGAATAAAATGTCTAAAAAGTGTTCTCAAGGGGCAATATTTTTTTAAAAGTGGGGAGTCAGAAAACCCTATTACAGACTATGGAAACAGAAGAATGTTGGCAGTTGTTACAGTTATGTAAGGAATATGTGGATTCCTTGTATTTGTTTATTTTGTTCATGTTTGAATTTTTTTATAACAAAAAGTATGAGTCTTAAAATAAACCCAAACTACATTCACAAAACCAAATCAAGGTATCCAGGAAAAAGTATTTCTAAAGTATGTAAGACTTTCAACAAGAGAAATTTAAAAGAAAGTAAACAGAAACTAACTATGCTATGATCATGGATAAGAAAACAGTATCCTAGCACACTTTCTTCCCACACCTAAAAATTTAATGCAATTCTTATTCATCCTAAAATCAAGAGCCCAATGATATTAATTATGGTATATTGACTGAAAAATTCAATGCAATTTCAATCAAGATCTGATTATATTATTATAGAATTTGGCAAGTTAGTTGACTCTAAAATGTATATAAAAGACTTATGAACCTTAATGAAAAAAAAAAAAACTAAAGAAGACCTACCTAGAATCACCACATAGAAATAAATACAAGCTATTCACTTTTTACAACACAATGGTGGATATATGGTTAGCATAAATCATCAGCCTTTGATGCCCAAAGCCAAGTGGAGGAAGGAGAAAGCCTATTCCCAAAGTCCTTCTCTGCCTTCTCACGTGTGCCCTGCCATGTGTGTACTCATCCATACACATACGGATATACACCTACACACAATATAAATAAAGGCCAAAAAAGGGAGCTTAAAACGAACATCCTCCATTCAAGTTAAAACCATTATAAAAAGTGCTTGGGTTGGGTATTTAAAAACCTCTTTAGAAGCTGAGATGAGTATCAGTTCTGTGGTACATAAATACTATTTAAAATTCATTATTCTCCTGTCTTGTACTTTTAGCTACTAATGTTTCAGAAAGTAAGAGTTCACTGCTCAAATATCAAATTCTTCAACAACACATTCCAGTGAATTTCATAAACTTTTCTGTTACAGTACTACAATTTTGTAGAAACATTTATACTAACTAGAGCTTTTGGAGAAACATCCTGTATGAAGGTTAATGCAGCTGGGGAGGTCATACACCATGGCGAGGAAGCTACCACTGCTGTTTTGTTCAAGGGCCATGATATGTCTGTTAAACCCTTCTACAAAACTGTGTTTACGCTCATGAAATAGTGCTGCTGTCCGTCCGTCAGCTTTGGTCAGAGAAGCTTTTTACAATGGTCAGTGGTGAGTGCAGAGACTCGTAAACTGGCCAAAGCATGGAGAATAAATAAATAACTGTTGACTGTCTGGTGGGACAACTGTGACACCCTCTCCGTGCTCATGGAATAACCTGGAAGAGGAAACAATGTCCCCAAACAAAACAAACAACAGAACAAACAAACATACAACAAACCCCAAATCCCTTAGGAGACAGAGGAAGTCGGGTAGATGGCAAGCTAACTTCTGGGCATGATATGGCTTTGCACTCTGAATGCACAGCAGTTGTGACTATCTCCATAAGGCTGGGTTGTTAATACACTTCCAACAGGTAACCCCTGATTCGGAGGGAGAGACAGTGTTGCCAGTGGTGCAGACACTGCTGAAGTGGGACTGTGTCAGTAGACAAGCTTTCACCCATGGTCATGTAAGCAATGTAAGCAACCCCAATGAAATTCACTGGGTGACAAAAAGAAAAGGTATCAAAGTAGAAGGCGTCTAGCGGGGAAGAGGAAAGGAACTACAGGGAGTAGTAGGGGCAGAGAAGAGCATAACAGGAAGTGCCTATGATTGAAATCCATTATGAAAATGCCAGAATGAAATCCATTATTTATGTAAAAAATTCATGTTTATATGCATATTTGAGGTCATAAGCATAGAAAAACTGAATCAAGCACATTATCCAGGATTTATAATACTTTACATACAAAAACATGAGACTAGAACTAAAATATTACAATGATATTTGAGATTAACTATGTTAAAGACTAGATCAATACTTACTAAAAATAAACTTTCCAGTATTAAAAAGAAAATTAGACATAAGCACCCAATAAACTATCATTGCTCCAATGAGAGATACCAAGGAGAAAAGGAGACTTGACCATTGCCCAAAGGAGCCAAAATAATGTTTGCAGACATCTGGAAATTCCCAGGTAGTTGTGTCTGATGTACCTAGATAAAAATGAAAGAGAAGGAATTAGACTAGGTACTGTTATATACTTCACATTTATAATTTGTTTTCCCCCAATTAACTCAAAATATTTAGCAAAATATTGTGGCTACTTTACCAAAAAATACAAGAACACATTATGAAAAAAACTAGAAATTAAATTATTATAAAATAAAATAGAAATATGATCAGTGAAATAGTATAATCTGAGAAACAACTAGGATCCTAACTTTTTATAACTAATTAGAGCATGTGATAACCACGAGTAGGAAAACAGATTAGAAAAAATAGAACACACACACTCTTTTTAGTTTTATGAGATGGTATCTTGCTACACAGCCCATGTTAACCCCAATCTCACAACAATCCTCATGCCTCAGCCTCCCAGATTTCTGGAACTGTAGGAAGTCACCCCGTCAGTTCATTTAAAACACTACTTAACAGTTAAACACTATTTAACCATATGAGTGAAAGCTGTCTTGAATCATATCTTATGTTACAAGCCAATTTAATTTTTAGATTACTACGTTAAGAATTTAAAAGAAAAGCTAGGCATGGAAATGCACACCTGTAATTCTAGACTTCAGGATGCTGAGGCAGGAATATGTGAACAAGGCTAGCCTGGGCTACACAATGAGTTTCTGAAGAGCCTGAAGAACATAAACATAGCAAGACAAAACGACAGCAGAAGATTAGCATATTACAGTTACAGCATTGAAGTCTAAGATGAAAGGTTATCCTGTCTATGAACGGAGAAAACAGCAAAAGGGAAACAGGAAAGTCTCACAGAAGCCATTCAGACAAAGTGAGAAAGCAAGTCACAAGAACTTGTAGATAGGAAACTAACAGCAACATCATAGAGAGTACTTAGTACAACTATAAAGGCACCAAGGGACTTGTGGATAACTGGGAAGAGAATACAAACAAACAACACAGTTAAAGAAAATCATACCACTTTGCAAGCATAAGAAAACGAAACAAAACAGAACGCAACAGAACAAAACTAGGAACCCAAAATAACATGTGTCAAAGGAGCTTATCATTCATGCACAGCTGGTACCACTGGAAATTACTACAGATTTTAGAAATAAATTTAAATTTAGTGATTGTCTTGTCTTTTTTCCTTCCTCCCTCCCTCCCTCCCTCCCTCCCTCCCTCCCTCCCTCCCTCCCTCTTTCCTTCTGTCCCCCTCCCTTTCTCCCTTCCTCCCTTCCTTCTGAACTTGTGATTGAACCCAAATAGCTAAGCATGTGCTCTGCCACTTAGCTATATCTCCAGCCCATGGTTTTCCCCCTTTAGGGGTTTATTTAAACAAAGCAATCCAAAACAATACACAAAATATGTATAAATTACTTTTAGAAGGGTATCACTTAGAATAGTAAACAGCAGAGGAGTGTGTAAACGTGCAACAGCACACAATCATTAGTCAATACAATAGAGTCATAGTGTACAACGTACAATCATTCAACAAACCAGACAATGAACACAGGTAATAATGGTGACGGCACCAATAAAAAGTTCCCTTAAAGAAAAGAGTGATGAAGTGGAAGACAAGATTGTAATAAAACATACTAAATGATAAAAGAACACAGACATCTGCATAAGAAAGAACACAAAATATTTGCATTTCTATAATTGTATTATTACAATAGCAATTTCTGTTTCAGTATTTCGGCAAGGAAGAAGAACATAGATAGGTCTGACACAAGGTCATTTTAACTGCCCTGAAATTATAGTGACTTCATGACTCATCTTGTTCCCCAGGGAGAGGGTTGGAGAGAAATATGACTGTCTGCCTTGTGTATTATATGACAGTATATAGGTAGGATCAATGAGGGACTGGCCTGGCCTCCAAATCTTTGTCGGTATATGTGCTTTTATGGTTCTACTCCAACAGCACTCTTATAGACACTGGGGTGTCTAGAAAAAAAAACAACCACAAAGAAAGAAAAAACATTTTAGCCTATAAATGTCCAATTGTACTGGACTCTGAAGAATACCGAGAACAAGCTTATTTATAGACACAGCCCAGGAGAAGTCCTCATGAATGATGGATGATAACCATCTCCTTGATTAGCAATTGTACCACTAATGTTTGGGTGGAGAGTTTCACTGTAACTTCCATACATGGTAGTCATGGATTTGCTTTCTCTGTAGGTGACTTGGACGTGGACTCCACCTTGGAGGCATGTGGTCCTTTCAAACGCCCTCTTGACTACCTTGCCAGGATGATTCTGGTAATGACCTGTAATTTGGTGATATATTTCTTTTAAAGCTTCTATATCTTCTATATTGACCAGGAAAATCTCAATTGCTAGTTTATATGCACAACCTCCTGCATTTTTCTAATCTCTTTATGGCTTTATTTTTCCATATTTTAGTTTGAATGTCATCTGGAATATATTTTTGTATAAGGTATCATACAGTTTTTCCACCCAACTAATACTCAGCTTAATAGACATCAAATATGACATTTAACTCATAAACCTGATAAAGATTAAACATTTTTATTCCATGTGTGTGGATGTTTTGCCTGAATTTCTCTGTACCATGTGGTCTCTGAGGTCATAGCAAGGCATTTGATCCCCAAGAACTAGAGGTCAGACAGCTGCGAGATGTAGGTGCCAGGAACCAAACCTGGGTCCTCTAGAAGAACAGCAATTTTTTACCCAGCATTTACCTCTCTGTCCCTTCCACTCTGGTCTTCCTATCTCCACGGCAGCAGCTTCTGCTTTATGACAGTTGCTCTGTAGTATGTCTCAATACCTGGTCAGTCAGATTCTTCCAGACCACTTCTTTTTTCCCTAATTTTCCTGGCTCTGTTTGAAATGGGACTGAATTTATACATGTGGCTTTTTGTGGCTCGCCATACTGAATCTTCCAAACCACATGGCATGTTATTCTTACTCGTGCAGATTTTACTCTTCGTGTTTAGGCAGTCTGATTTTTTTTTCCATCAAATGTGTTCTCTTGCTAGATTTTATCTAAGCCCTTTAGAGGTTACTGCTGTGGTGAATGAACTAATGTTCTCTGCACTATAGTCCTAGCTGTTGATTCTTGATTTCATAGGCAGTTTATTTCAGATTCTTATTAATTCTAATAGCACTACTCAGCATTTTTGTTCATTCTTTTGCCATAATTATTAGTCTTTTCTATTTCTTACATTAGCTCAGCATTTTTTGGTGTACTTGATAATTTCAGAAAACTATGAGTAATCATGAGCATTCCTTATGTCTTTGTCATCTTCTTCCTCTTCTTTCTCCTCTTCCTCCTTCTCCTCCTCTTCTTTGACTCAAATGGAAATAGCTTTAGGCATTTTACCACTGTAGAGCTGCTGGTCCTGGTTTTGGGATAAAGAAACTGTAATTTGTGTAAGTAGTGCTTTCCTTAGAGCTTTACTAAGATAAAGGATGCTTAACACCATCAAATGCCCCCCCCCTTTTGTGGGGGTGTTTATCAATTGATGTAACCATGGACTTTACCTTTATTTTGTTAATGTACTGAATTATGTTGGGCTTCTTAGTAACAAAGCATCCTCTCCCCTCGCTGGAATAAACACATTTTAAATACATCCTATTTTAAACATAGAATATTATTTTTGTACACTATTGATTCTATGAAATAATGTTTTGTAAGTTTTTCTTTCATTTTTTGTCCTGTCTGGCCTTGTATTAGGCTTGTGTTGACTTCATAAAATGAACTGATGCAAGTTATCTTTTAAATGGAAGAGTTTAAGAAACACAGGAATTACTTGCCCTGCAACAGTCAGAGTGTGTGCAGAGGGGGCTTTCCACTGCGACAGCCTCAAGTAAAATTCCCTACTTACTGCATTTGTATAAAGAGCTCTTCCCATTTCAGTCAGCACCGAAACCACCAAAGGCTACTCAACCAGGAACTTGAATGGTTTTTTAAACAAGACTTCTTGCAAGATCTCAAACAATAAGTGACAATAAACTCCCCAGTGACTGAGACTGCTTAACTAGAGAAAGGAGCTGCTTAGACAGAAACAACTAGAGGTTGGTTTGCATTTGCTAATATGACTGAAGGAAAATCATGCCTGTCTAGGCCCTAAAAGACACACAGCACACCCACGCCCACACGTATGCTTTGCTTTATTTATTTACTTATTTTGAGACAGACTTTTATGTAGCCTAGACTGGCCTTGAACTCCTTATGTAGCTGAGAACACTGAACTCCTTCCTGGTTCTCTTGTTTCTAACTCCCAATTCTGAGATTGTGGGCAAGCACCACCATACTCAGTTTAATTTGTAAAAATGACCTAAAAAGATGTTTCTGTATGGTAGCATATATACATTGTCCCAGTTGCTTGTAATAATAAAAGTGTGAGTTGAAACATAGATTATTTCTACTCATAAGATTGGAATCAACCTAAGCAATCCAACAAGACCACAGTTTAAGCTTAAAACCCCAAAACAAAAAGATTAAACCTTTAGTCCCAGCACTTGGAGAAGCAGAGGCAGGTAGATACCTGAGTCTACAGAGTGAGTTCCAGGACAGCCCAGGGCTACATTGAGAAACTCAGTCTTGAAAAACCAAGAGAAAAAAAGAAGAAGAGGAGGAGGGAGAGGAGGACAAAAGATTACTTTCCTGATTCCCTGATCCAGAATTTATACAGATAAGTAGAGGTATAATGCATCTATACTTTAAGAATTGCCTATACTTCACATTTTTCTATTGATACTTTATACTTTTAGATCTGCTATATATAAATCAAAACAAGTAAATAATAATTGGTTAGAGTAGAATTCTCGATAGTTTGACAAAGGCTTTATTTAAAAGATATAACATTTTGGGTCCAGTGAGAGGGCGGAGCACTTGCTACCAAGCCTGGGAACCTGAGCTCAGTCTTCAGGCCTCCTGTGGTGGAAGAAAGAAACCACCTCCATCAAGCAGTGGTCTGATACCCACATACATTCATGCACAGAGATAAGAAGATATAACCGTTTTGTAAGTGATACTTTTCTTGTCTTATAAGGTCATCAGCCCTAATATAAATATCTTCTCCGAAGATTGCTCAGCTCTGAATTTCAGAGTGAACCAGCTGGGGCCAGAGAGAGGGCTCAGGTTAGGGAACTGCTGTCATAAGTTCAATAATCCCAGAGAACCTCATGGTAGAAGAAGAAAACTGACACCTTCAAGTTGTCCTTTATCCTCCATGTGTGCACTGCAGCACACGTGCATGTGCACAGACAGACACACACACACACACACACACACACACACACACACACACACAGAAAAGGTAAAAGGAGGCAGCTGACACATATATAGAATGTACACAGTAGGCTCTGCTTTAGTAGGAAAGTGTCTTAGTTCCCACATAATCTGTCTCTACTTACTTATCATACTCCGTGATTTCACCACTCTATAGCAGCAATAAAGTGTTAGAAGGCCCATCAGCACGATGACACACATCCCAGTAGTAAATCCAGCCTTTTTAAAAATAAAAAGTTGGGTTCCTTTCATTATGTAAGAATAACTTCATATGCAATTACATTGATACTCTCAAGAATTCTGACAAAAACATGGTAGTGGAAAAACAAACAGAACCATTTGCTTTTTAAAGAGAATTTTATGTAAACAATAAAACAGACTATAGTGATAATTTCCTTTTGTAGTGCTAGTAATTGGACATGGGGCCTCAGGAAAGCTAGGAAAGCAATGCATTTCCAGCCCCAAACTTAAAAGGTAAAGCAAAAAAATTTCAGTTATTTAATTAATTTATTTATCTATTCTGGAGACATGAAATGTACACAGGCTGGCTTAAAGTTTTCTATGTAGCCCAAGCCAGTCTTGAACTCATGATCCTGTTGTCTTAGCCTAAGTATTGGGATTATAGGTATAGAAAAATTCTCAGGGGTTTTGAATGGCTCAGCAGTTATGAATGCATTCTGGCCTTTCAGAGCACCGAAGCCTGGTTCACTGCATCCATGTTGGGTGGATCACAACTGCCTGCAACCCCAGCCTCAGGAGGATCCAACACCTCTGACCCCCATGGGCACAGGCAGTGCCCACAAATACCCACAGACTCACTCATATGCATAATTAGAAATAAAAACTAATAAATCTTAAGAAGTTTTCAGACAAAAGTATAGTCAAAAATTATATTACCTGTTTTATGCCCCAAGGAATACTTAGTATAGATGTTCCCATCATGGTATTCCAAATCATAAAACTGAAAGAGTAATAGCAGTAACAATATGAGGTCGGGCTCCTCACGCTTTTTAATTAAAACACAAGTAAATAGCCAGTTATTTTCATTCACGCAGTTTAATTTATGCTCCAAGAAGTAGTGTACTCACATAGTAACTAAGCTGGTGTTTTTACCGCAGCCTTCAGTGTAACTCTTAAGTTTATAGGCAGAGCCCAGTGGACTATAGACATAGCATTCCTCTGGAGCAGGAACTACGTGGTCTGGAGCAATCTTGGGGAAAAGAAAAGAGAAACATCAGAACCAGTGTGTGGACAAAAAGGATGTTTTCTATTGATTAAAGAAACTGACTAGACATACTTCTCAGATTCACATGGAGCTGAAACAGCTAGGGGCTCTGGTTGATGGGCTCCTCTGAGGACAGTGGCCAGTGAGATTCTTGACTAGTACACATCTGGGCTTCCTTGACTATTACACATCTCTCTTCCTGTCTCAAATGTGTGATCTCCCTGCCTCTGCGGCATGAGTATTGAGATTATAAAAACCTACCAGCATGTATATCTTTAAGACACATCTTAATATATATTTCTAAGTCTCATAAGCATTTAGCATTATGCATCCCTTATTACTCTTTTTCAAATACAGCAGTAGGTATATATAAAGGAGAAAGAAGTTATCTCTGTCATCAAAGTACTTTTCATATTCATGCGAAAGAAGGAAGCTAATAATGAAAGAAATCTCCAAGGAGAAGGCTGTCCTCAAGTCAGGAGCTTTGCAAGAACTAAGTGGTGTTCACTTAACTCTGAGGTAACAGACAGGGATCTCAGACTAAAGAATTGAGGCACCAATGAACAGTAAGTAAAGAAACAGCACATAACTAATTTTTAAATGCTTTGGGTTTTAAATGCTGTGGGAAAAGATCCAGATAAAAAAGTAACTTAATCAATGGTCAAATGAGGGTTTGAGGAGCAGAAGATGGAGGGATATCAGCAAAAGGGGAAGGGGCAATGGAGAATCACCAGATGGAGCAAAGATGACGGATGACATGTACCTCATACGCCAATTTCTCACACTACCTCCTACATTTCTTCCTATCTCCATCTTCCTATTTGGGACAGGAAAAACCTCCTGTTTCCTGATGACACTCTGCCCATCTCGGAGGGTTATTCTTGGAGAAGTCCTTGAAGGCACAGAATCTGACCAGTGTGAACCAACAATCTCTTAATATTTAACACCTACGTGTAAATTTACAACTTTGTGCTATGTTTCTTATTCGAGAGAGTAAAGTTAACAGCCTCAAACTGTCTCAAATCCCAGCTGGACACATGAAGCAATTGGGTGAGATTAGGAGGCACACTGTAATTAAGTGTTCTACTCTGTGCCGTACTAGCTCACTGGGTAAACAATGAGAACCAAATTAGCTAGGGAAGACTCAAGGAAGACACAGGGTATGAGGTCTTAGTGGCAACAAAGGGCATAAGTTATGAGTACAGAAATGCCATAGCCTTCTCTTTTAATGCAATACGAGCAGTGGTGACTTTGTAGGGAAGAATATCCTGAATGCTATGCATGGTGTGGCTTCAGAAACACCTAGTTCCTAGAGACACAGATAAAAATACGTATGAAAATTGTGTTTTTCCTTCTCTTTATCTACATTCCTCTACAATCTAGATGATATTTTCTTCTCCCATGATTAAAGAAAAAGTGCCAGACTACTTCCCATTAAGAAGTAGAAACAGTATAGCTGACAAAGTGAATGAGAAAAACCCCAAAATAACAAGAACAGCAGTAGCAGCAGCAGCAACAACAACAACAACAATAAAACAAGTAAAATCAAAACTTATAAGGAGTATGGTTCAATAAGAGATAGAAAATTCTGGTTGTGCTCTCACACTGACCTACACAAAATGGAAGAACAAACCTATTCCATGTACACCTCATCTAATCCTGTGCCCTGTGCTAGCCTCTGGGCCTCTGGATTATACACGGGAAGATGTGGAGGATGGGGGTGGGAGGAGTGCCAGATGCTTAGGAGGCATGGCAAACAGGCTGGATCCCACTGTGGCAGTGGTGAAGGGCAGCACTTCCATATGCACACTCCCATGACACACAGGCTCTTGCTGACATACAGACTATGCCTCACTGGTTCTGACTAAGCCCTGCACAATGCCTTTTTGCTAAGCCCTCAGGGAGGCTGACAAGGCTGCTCTGTAGGCATGTGCCTTTAGTAGCAAGGACACAGGGGATGCTGGCAGATAACTTTCTCCCCTTTCCAGCTTAGAATAACAATAATAGCATTTCTTCCATAAATGAAAAGGTTTTACTCTATGAACAGTGATTTACTGTTCTTCTCCAAAACATACCTTTAGGGAAAGTGATTTGGGGATTTTTAGAAAATGTGTGTGGGTATTTATACAAATTCATTAGAAGTGGAGAGCTCACATTAACCTGGCGACTGGTTAGATGTACTGGTAGTGTATCTCAGTGCCAGTTAACAGAGGGTTACAACTCGGAGCACAGTGCTGACTAAACTGCAGGCAGTGCTGCTCATCCAGCTCCAGATGATATCTCTGAAGCCTAATTCTAAATGTACAGCCTCTGGAGAGTCAGACCGGGACCTCAAAGGCCCCAAAGATTTACATTAATGCTATAATACACTTTACCATCACTACTAATGTAAAGGTCTGTAGGATGGGTAAAAATAAAACCTACAGAAATTGATCCTACATATAGCATTTTGTAAGTCTTTTCTTGAGATCTTAGAGTCAGGTATGATGGTTTGTGTTATAAGCAAAGGAGAGAAGGCTGGAAGCTCAGAGGTTCAGAGGTTCGGATCACTCTCGACATACAAAGAGCTGGAAGTCAGCCTGGACTTCATGAAATGCTATCCAAACAAGCAAAGACAAAGAAGTCTGAATGCTGACTTCATGTAGCCATTATGGGGGCAACATAAGACAGCCATGGTCAGGTGGTACCCACTCCTCCTTGGTAGACATCTAGAGAAGGTTGGAAGCTGGTTTGTTCCTTCCGTTTTAGCATCTAAGACCCATTTTAACTGTATTTTTTTTAAGCTTTCAAATTTATGAGTATCACATATCTGATCATCATTATAAGCAACAGATTATTGACATATTTTAAAATTCTAAAATATAAGACAGACTTTAGACAATCATGAGTTCACAAGATACAACCCATAATGCAAATTTGGCCTTTATTGAATTTGTAGCCCTCTCCTAATAATTTCTTAAATGTTTATAAGACAAAACAGTGAACTGTGATAGTATGTGGTCTGCATAGGCTAATTTTTTTACTCATAAACGGACAATATGTAAACAGGAAATTATCAGGTTTCACATATATGAACATATCTATTTCTTATTCTTATCGAAAATGTATATATTTTTCCTTTATAGCTTCAAATTTATAAATTAAAGAGACTAGCCAGAATCTTATGTTTTTAGTCAACATCTAAACTGCTATTTCAAAAGCAATTTGTCTTCCTCAGAGCTTTTGGTACCTGAAATAGGAAAAAATTAAAAATCAAAGCTCCAAACTATTGTCAACAGTGAGTTCTAAATGTCTCTACTCCAGACAGGCGTTTACTGTCATTACAACTGAACTTTAGACGAGCAGCAGAGCTTTGCCTCTTACCAGTGCCTTGTCTGCAGGAGTGGTGAGCCGGCTGTAGTAATGAATCCGCTTGTTCATAGCAGCAGCATGGTCACTGACCCTCTGAATGACATCATTCACATTGACGATGTTGGTAGGCTCTATATAGAAAGGCCTAAAGAAGGGAATATATACTTGACAAAAAATGTTCAGGTAAAAGTTCTGGAAGTCAGCCATTGTAGAGAAAAACCTCTCGTCCTCCAGGTGAAGCAGGACGCACAAAGGCAAGGTGCTCACTTCTCACTTTTGGTGGGAAAAGAAAACGTCACAGAAGAAGTATTATCCTACCTACAAAATACAGCTCTTGTCTCATAATACTTTTACTTTAAACACACTTGTTGAAGCTTAAGGAATTTACCAACAGGAGAGAGAGCAGAAAACACTAGAGAAATTTGGCAAAGGAAAACAAAATGTATCAGCTGTTGGCCTCCAACAATTTAAGTTAGATAGAAACTGCTTTGATTAGTCTTTTAAAATGCTCCGGTGCTAAATCAGAGAAATTATAGACAAAATGTCCCTTTACTGAAGAGTCTCCACTCCTTCCTCTATAAGCCAAAGTTATTTCCTTTGACAAACAAAATTCCTATTTCTCAGCTCATGTCCTAATGAAGTGATCTCAACCACTTTCTTTGTGTGGGGATCCAAACTGGATCAAACAGAACATCACAGCACTGGAGAACTTTGCCTCATGTACTTTCCTTGGATGTTGGTACCATACTCTAATGTCCTATTATTTATGTGTTTGTTTCCTCTGACTATGTCCTGATGAACTGTAGAGTCTAGCTTTCAATCATCATCTCCAGTCAGCCCTTCAGTATCTTTCTGAAATTCCCTCATTTGCTTTCTAACTTTCCCATAATGCACATTCCACAATGAAAAGACAAGGAAGAATCGCACTGCTCTGCCAAGTTTCAGACTCTTTGAAGTAGGAAATAGCACTGTGTCCCAAACTGTGGGTGTCGCTCCTCCACATTATACATTGGTAAAAATAATGGAAAACAAAACAAAACAAACCCCCAAGAAATTTTAATTTCTGCTACTTTTCTAACAAACTCTGATGCCTGAGAAACGGTAGTTGAGTTAAGTCTTCTAACTGACATGCAGAACATTTGAGTCACTTGCTATTTATTCTCCATGACAACATTCAAATATAGTAGGTATCAACTAGTCAATTTAATGGATAGTAACAAGAGCATTTCTAAAAGTAAATACATGGGCAGAGAGATCAATATAACATATCAAACATGCTGGCAAATGCATACGTGCTATTAATAATTTATAAGGGGGATATAGTAAACATAAGTGGACCAGAGGCTAAACAATCACTTCATATATATTTGGTAGCCTAATATAACCACCAATCTCTCTAAAACTGTTTCGATGTGATATATTATTTCTACTTTAACCGTGATAATGATCCTTAAAGGCAATGTAAAAACATTGATATCTGGGGCTAGGACGACGGTCCAGTTAGTACAGTGCTTTCCACACAAGTGTGAGGAACTGAATTTAGATCTGCAGCATGCACAGGCAAGCCCAGAGCCACATGTCTTTAAACCCAGTTCTAGGGAGGAGATAGAAACAGGTGAACCACTGGAGCTCATTGGCTAGCTAATCTAGGCAAATTGATGAGCTCCAGGGTCAATGAGAAACTGCCTCAAAAGATAAATTGGAGTGCAATGGAGGAAGACATTCAGCATTGACTTCTGGCCTCCAAAACACAAACATGCGCGCGCGCGCACACACACACACACACACACACACACACACACACACACACAGGTATCTCGGAGGTACCACGTTAGGAAGCTCACACTCTACAGAATTTTCCTGCAGGATCACAAAACTCAAGAATGCTAACTTAAGGCAGATACTTAGGCTACTAAAAAGGACTAATATTGATAGAAAGAGGTATAGAGGTTCTTCTTGTAGCTGTTTGCTCTGGAACTCAATGGCATTAACATCCAACCACTAGGTTGGTTTGAAAGTCTGCTGAAAAGCAGTCCGGGAAGTGTTAGGCCTTGGCCTCTGCCTCTGGCTGGAGTGTTAACTGTACCAGTTTAGTTGGCTCGGGTATTCTGAGAACAGAATGGCTTTGAAAGCTTTTCTTTTCCAACCGTTTTCATCGAGATGTTGAGTGCCTGTTCAAACAAATATTTTGGAATTTTTTCAAAACAGATTCTCTTTAAAAATATACAATTCAGCATATTTTCAGTGACTTATTAGAAACACATTTTAGAAAGTGAAAATATATTTCTAAAGTGAACTTTACTTAAAACACTTTAAAAACGAAGAACACTACTAGAGGATAATGTTCAGGAAAAAAGACTCTTTTGAACTCTCATTTGATTATGCATATCAGGGTCACTTGCCATCTGACATGCAGTTCAGCTGTACCCAATGAGAACAAAGACGGTATAGCTGGGTCACCTTGTAAATAGTCATGGTCATGCCAAAGCAAAAGAGTTTTAATTTGGAGCAAAATTTATAAAATATTTTAAAATGAGATTCAATTCTCATATGTTCATTTAATGCACTCATAAACAAAGAAACCACACTCCTGCTAACACCTTTTTTAGAGTCTACTCCTTAAATTCCTTAAAATCTTTTGGCTTTTCAATCTGTCTCCACCCTTCTACTGCCAAGCCATGCTGCTGTGAGGTTTAGTAACAACTCTATGACTCATGGCAAGTCTCATACCCAGTATGGAAATCTTGATTTGAAATTGCCCAGTTATTGGCCTCCCTATGGAAGTTGAGGTGTTCTAACACTTGACGGACAGGTTGGGGTAATTTATTAACACATACCAAAAACAAACAAACAAGGCAATCAAGCATTCCAAAAATGTTACACAGATCCATTTCAAATAATGAACCCTGTACTTGCTTCTATGTACTTGGTAAAACGTTTTGTCTACCAGAAAGCTTTTCAGGTCACAGGGCAGAAAAAGAAATTACTCAGGCCACTGCACCAAGGAAGTCCTGCTGCTAGGGAATGCTGGTGAGCCCTGACCCCTGGTGTGTTTCTCACTTCCTTGGAAGCCCATACACCATCATCTCTTTACAAACCCCTGCTCTACAACCCAGCTTGAAACACAGTAGCCAAGGCTGAGCCTATACAAGCTTCTCTACTTTGGCTAGTTTATTTAGTAGTGGTTTTCAAATTTATTATACAAATATTATTTAAGTTCCAACCAAGTATTCTGCATTTGTGTTAGGCATTAAACAGTGAACAGAACACAAGACCACAAGGATTGTACAATAACCTGCTGCAGAGATATGTAGGTAAGATAAGTGATGTAGGCCCAGAGGGGAGAAACCAAGTGTTTCATGCAACAATGAGAGCAAGGCAATTAGGAGGGCTGAGCGATGCTTGGGCTCTGTGGGGGTGGGGTGAGGGACATCCATCATCTGGCAGGCTGCTGAGGAAGGCATAGGTAAGCCGAACCTTAGACAGATATGGCCATTAAGAGAAAAGAATGTTTCAAGGAATGGAAGACAAGGGATGTAACTCACAGGCTCGGATGTACAAAGCCTTGGGATCACTTCCTGTATACACACACACACACACACACACACACAAAATACATGGGAGTGGAGGGAGAAGACAGAGAATCAAAAAGAAAAAGTATGAGATACATTTAAAAACACATGTTGGTCAGTAGATGGAGATTTTCATATGCTAACAGGATTTAATCTAAAGGAAAGAAGCCTCGTGTCTGTTTCTTTGACTAATAACTTCTCAAATCTGTACTTTTTAAACGTAAAGGTACCCTAGAGTTCTCAGGAGTTCTCTCCTGTGTTCTCACTCCATTGGCGGGTTCAGGCAATTTGAATCCATACAGATGCTGTCCAGACTGAAAGCCTGGCTCGTGTATCAAACTGTTTCCCACTGTGCCTCCCTATCCCGTATGTTGGACTTCAGTGGCCTTTTATCTAGATCTCTACACAGCTTAGTCATCACCTCTTTTAGCTCCTAAGCTATTCCTTTCTCAACACGGCCTTTGATGACTATGGTCATCACATCTAAACTTCAACACCTCTTCTACACTCTTGCCATCCACCTCTGTTCTACATCTTCTTTGCAGCTACACTACCCAATATGATAGACAAATATTTATGTTTTGGTCCCCTCTGGTGAAATGCTTTACAGGGGGTAGAATTTGTTGTTGTTGTCACTTTGGTCAGTAGCCAATAACTTAGAGCCAATAACTGTACTTGACATGTTGAAGCACCTGTACAAAATGTGTTAATTTACCTTAGTGGCAGTGTGCTTTAAAAATGTGGTAAGGGAATACAGAATAAACCAGTACTTTAAGAAAACTATGTGTGTATATTATGTAGGTGTGAGCATTGTATAGGTGTGTATGATGTACATGCATGGAGACCGGAAGTTGACATAGGAGATCCTCTTTAGTCAGGCTCCATGTTATTTTTTGAGATGATGACCCTGGAGCTCACCAGTTTGGCTAGGCTGACTAGTCAATGAGCTCTAGGGATCTGACTGTCTCCCAGTCAGAGCTTCCTAACGGTGTGATCATATTGCCTGCCACTGCCCCAGCTTTTATATGGTGCTAGGGATCCAAACTCAGGGTTTCATGCTTGAGTGCAAGCATTTTATGGAATGAACCATCTTTCCAGATCCAAAGGAAAATTATCTTGAAATAATTTTAGATTGCTACGCAGAAACTGGAGAAGTATCAAAGTATCAAATGTTGCACAAACAGCAGCAACCCGTAAGAAGACTAAACAGTTCTGAATCTAACTATTAGCTATGTACTCAGTGCTTTCTCTGTTTCCTACTGCCTAGTGAGCCTTCCTGCTGAACCCTGTGATGTACTGGATCCAGAAAGACTCTGAGATCTTCCTGTAATGGTTAGAGATCCTCCCATGCAGTGCTCATAGCATCTGGGCAACTCTTCCACTTTGGAAGAGGGTCATTCAGTCCACTAACTCTTCTTCCCCCATAGAAAGATATGCCACACATTGAGGGCTCCCTCTATATCAGAGTGTTTTGAGTGTTTTGTGTGTGTGTGTGAGAGGGGGGGGTAGGTGAGGGGGAAGGAGGGAGAGAGGGAGGAAAGGAAGGAAGGAGGGAAGGAGAGAGGGAGGGAGG